GTGTACTTGTGTTTGCCTGTGAAGGAGTGTGGGCCGGCTCCGTTGATGAAACGTGGCTCCCATCCACATGCCTCCCGGTCTTATTCCTTCGGGTTTACACTGGATAAGGGGTGTGTGGTTGGAGCTGTGGGTGGTGCAGCGCAAGCCATCCATGGTCCCTCTGTAGGCGCAGGCGTCCTGTGGCTTGCCACAGTGACAGGCAAATCCGAAACCGGATGCCACCAACCATATATGAGGGCAATATCGTCAGCATATCCCGAGTTAGGAAGTCGTTCACCTGGGAGTAACTCCACACCTTCCAAGTTATGTCCTGTGAACGTGATCTTTGACTTCGTCAGTAGCGAAATTAAAGAGGAATGGTGACAGCGGGCATCCCTGTCTTACACCGCTGGGCATATCGAATGGCGACGACAGCTTGCCGTAAGCCCTCACTCTGCCCGAGCCACACGCGTATAACGCTTGGATACTAATTACATATTTCTCGGGCACACATATCCTTAGTAGACAATTTCAAAGGGCACATCGATCAACCGAGTTTGTTGTTTGGGAACACGATTACGGTGAGGCGCAAATGTATATGACGGTGCTCCAACAACCGACACAAAGTGAAGATGTGATCAATGCAGCCCCGACCTCGATGAAACCCGGCGTGCTCTTCACGAATCTGGCTTTCATTAGTGCCAGTCAGTCTGTGAAGGATGACAGATGCAAGTAATTTGGTATTGATGGAGATAACACTGATTCCTCTATGGTTGCTGCATTCCGAACGTGAGCGTCTTTTAAGATCGGGACAATAATGAAGCGGCGCCAGTCGGTTGGGACAGTTTCCTGCTCCCACAGTTTAACTGGTAACACGTGGAAATAATACACAATAGCAAGACCTCCAAATTTGGAGAGGGCTAGTTGAAGATCATCTGGTCTAGCGGCTTTATTCAACTTCAACGGTTTGATCTCACGTTCGACTCCTAAGCGGGAGGTCAGAGCTAAAGCAACAGTTCAGGGAGCAGGGCGGTCAGTGGCCATCGAGAAATCGGACAATTCCGACTGATGAAATTGCTTTTCAAAGTGCTCGACCCAACGCTCCAACCGTTTTTACCAGTTATGGATAACTTGTCCACTCTCGTCATAACTAGTTTCACTAACACTAGGTCTCCTGCTGCCCGTATCCCGCATCAGGCAGAAGAACTCTCAGTGGTTACCAAGGGCAGCAGCTACTTCCATCTATGAAGCACCACAAGACCACTAAGATTCATGGTCTCCCTTCAGGCTAGTACGGAGGTTTTTGCGAGTTTCATTGTGTTCGCTTGCACTCGGCATGTTCCGGCTAGCATCGATATGTTCCAGAGACTGCGATGAGACCTTATGTCCATGTTGGCGATTAAACTTACCACATGAGGATCTACCTGCTGCTAGTAATGTCTGGTTAACATGCTACCCGTGACGTTCAGCTGTACTCACTAAGCGCTTACTCAACCCGCTAGTCAGCGTACTTTGATACGCATTCAGAACAGTTGGCTTCGCCAGTTGGCTGGTGTCAATACGCCCACAAGGTCGTCATAGGCGTCCGCCCAAAACGCACTGGCAGATCAGCACATACAAGTGCATGGTCAGTGTTCACATATGTGCTCTAAATTGAGCGACAGTTCTGGACGCAACCTTTCCAGCGGAAACTGATCACGATGTGGTCGATTTGCGTCCAAGGCTGGTGGGCGGGTGCTGTGTCGAAAGTTAGTGCTCTCAAGAAATAAGCGGGCATCTTCACCCAAATGGAGTAACCGCTTACCGTTTTCATTGCGGAAGCCTGCACCGTATTGGCCGCCCAGATGCAGTTCATCCGTGGACAATTTTCTAACGAGCCTTCAGATCCTCAGCCTGCACAACAGTGCTCGTGCTTCTTCTGTGGCAATGGGATTCGTTCAGTTGGCGATAGAAGTTGTCTTCTACCGAATCATCTCTACAGTTTGTGGGCGCGGAGGCAGCGATGATGAATAGACGCCTGTTGGTCCCGCGCGACTTCGAAGCTTTGAACGAGCCATCCAATTGAATCGCACACATCCGGCTACTAATTGGGTTCCACTCAACCAGAGCAGCTTCAGCTCGGGGACTCAGGACAATACCTACACCGGCTTGACCAGTACTCGAAGCTGCATCTCTCCGGATAGGCGCAATGAGAAAGCACTGCTAGTGTCACTTGAAGGGGATCACAAAGCGGGTACAGAACTCTTGACTCTTAGGCGGGTTTCCGATAAGCAGTAGATATTGATCGACAAAGTTTCTACGGTTCGGGCTGTTGCTGCCTGTGGACCGATCTTTAACAATGTGCGTACGTTGATGCATGCCAATCTGAAGGAGGATCGAAGGATACAAATGGAAGCCGATGAACTGGACTTGACCGTTTGCTTAGACATGGGCTTGTCCACGGGGCAGGAGTGATGCTTTGCGTTTGTATGTCTTGCAACTAAAAGATAAACGCCTATCAAAGCAAGATGGGGGTGGGCCAAGAGTTGGGGGTTGGGGTTAAAACATAGGGGACAAGTGAAGCTGGAACGGGACGAAAAGGTTGAAAGCGTAAGAGAGGGAATAAGAAGACGGGAGGATTTTAGCAGTAGCATCTAAACCCCTACACACCCTACTCGTTGCAGCAGATAGGGCGCCATTTATTATCCTCTGTGACGGCCAGAGTGTTACGAAATTGTTTAAGGAGAGGTTCATAGTATTGCGCGGGTGGGATACTGTCAGGTTACCCAGACCTAGATAGGAGAACGATTAGGGTTCTCAACCAAGGCGTTTGGTTCAAAAACCTGACCGCATAGCAGTGGGCTACAAAGAGTCCGTTTTAAGGTATAAGGAGCCACCCTCATTCCAACCCCCAACCTGGAGTTTGTCTGGCCTCTAACCATTGATCAGTCTGGTATGAGTAGTTCTGAAGGTGCAAAAGCACTACCCAGCATATCTCAGTAGATCTCTGAGGCACGCAAACCATTGCGCCTCATTGTGATGGCCGGAATGAATCTAACATCTAAGAACGGTAATCGGCAGTTGTCTCACGCCAATCGGACTCGCGATTGTTACACATCTCCGTGTTCCTTTTTGTTGAAGCGGCGTTCACCGATAGAGTGTTGTTTTTGCCTTATATACTGCCACAATAGACAATGACACCTTAGCCAACAAATTGGTCGACAGCCGCCCACTCGTTTTGTCTCAATTGTTTACTGTATTAGAGGCTTGGTCGCCTTTCAGTCTGCCTCTAGTTTTATTTGGTGTCGCAGGGTGTCGGCTAATCCAGCTGCTACGCCGATCATGTGGTTACTCAACACGCTAGGTTACTGACAGATGGGACCAACCTTGCGAACTTAGTTTGAGTAATTATCAAAACATAGGTCCGATTATATCTAATTTTTAGGGTATCCTCGTTTTTCGCCATTTATTAAGTACCAGGCTCTGTTTACGCGCTTGTTATCATGACAATTAGTAACACGAGCGCTATACTTTGCTTTGGGCGTCCCAATTTGGACGGATCGGGCGGGTGCTAACCGTTGTCACCGATATAGAACCTATATCTGACTTCATCGTTTGCTCTCTGCTAATGCATATCTTACACCGAACGGAGTTGTGCTTCACTTACTCATAGGCGTAAGGTTAGCCAAACTCTGCGTGTTCCATTCCTTCACCCACATTACTAATGCTCCCATGTTTTGCTGCGCACTCCGTAGAGTGGCACGTGCTCTTCATCGTCACCTTTATCATCACTACACTATGACATCCGCATAGCCACTGCTTGTCCGAAAGTTGCGCGCTTCTTGTTGGTTGTCCGCATCCGCACGCATGAGTGTCCGTCTACTGCTGATTGATTGTACTAGTCTTAAATACATGATCAGTACGTTTTACAAATACCTGTTACAATGGAAGACGTTTTTTGCATCGCGCTTCACCGGCCACTAGCCGTTAATTCGTTTTCACAGCTACTGATAGTACCGCACGCGCTGGACTCTAACAGCTTTCACCTGTTGTCTATCTTGTTTGGACTTGAACATTTATGCATCTCATTGGGCACACGGTTTGCATCTGCTCACTTGTTTCACCTTGTAATGTTACATTGCCATTCGCCCGTTATTAGAATATACCTTTTTTCTTGGGACAGGTTTCTTGGTAATACGATGTCATTCATTCACGTTAGCTAGAGGTGGGGACGCCTCTGGCATTGTGCGGGCCGCAATACTTAAGAGGAAAAATATAATGGAGAGACGCAACATTGGCGCGCCAGCTGAGCCACAAGTAACATGTGAGCATCGTTCCGGAGAGCTAACAGCCGGCTGTTGTGCCGCAAAAAGTTAAATTATGCTACAGGAATGAGATTCTGATTGGAGCGACAAAGAAATTGACAGCATAAATGCCACTGAGATCGACTTTTAGCCATCTCAACTAGTGTATCCAGCCAAGCGTGTTTATCGTCTTTTGGACCCCAACCAGAAAACCGAGAGCCACCAACTGAGGGCAACTTCGAAGTGTGAGCCTTCATTCTTTTTGACCTTGTCGTCGGTTAGCCTCACTTCCTCTTCTTCCATCCGCAACCCCGGCCCGCAAACACCGCGCGATGCGGGAGTCGGTGTGCTAGCATGCGCAACATGTGGCCCAGCCATCGGAGCCTGGTTCGTGACGTAACCGTGTTGAGAGCTTCACTTCCTTTTCCTGCGTCATAAACAATGCGCCGAACAAGCCCATTACTCACACGGTGTTCCCACCAGATGTGAGCCAAAGTGCGAAGGCACCAGTGTTCTAACCTAATTAGACTCTACGTTCTTGGTAATGTCTTAGCACACCAGTGACTGCTCGTAAATGTATTGCCTAAAGCAGGCTGGTTGCTGCGCATGAACGTTTGCGGTTAGAAGGCTAACCGAATGATTAATGGCTGTTTCGCTTAGGCTTTTCTTTTCATTTCCAACTTCAGTTCATCATCAAACGCCTACCATTACTTGTTGACATTACCTTCAATTTTTCAGGTAAGGGATTCACGTGTTGTTGCTGGTGGTGGTGCCTCTGAAATCGCTTGTTCTCTGGCCGTTTCTTCTGAGGCTGATAAAGTAGAAGGGTTGGAGCAATATGCGATGCGTGCCTTCGCTGACGCACTGGAAGCCATACCGATGGCTTTGGCAGAAAACTCCGGCCTTCCTCCCATCTTGACGGTTGCCGAGCTCAAAGCACGCCAACATGCGGAGAATAACCCTTGTCTTGGAGTTGATTGTCTTAATGTGGGCACAAACGACATGAAATCTCTAAACATCCTGGAGACGCTTAGCTCAAAACGCGCACAAATCATGTTGGCGGTGCAGTTGTGCAAAATGATTCTCAAGATTGATGATATTCGCGTCTCTGTTGATGTATAACCGCGTTATGCTTGTTTCTTCGCATGAACCTGTTTGAACTCCTTAAATCGGTTTTGACATCACCTGCCTTTTCTGTAAAACACAATTGTACTTAGCTGCCAGGAGATTGGTTGCTGCTCAAACAATAGCGGTACCACCTTGCTTCCTTAATCCGTCTTCCACGCAGGTGGTTGCCGTTCATTCTTTAGTACGTTCAGATGTTTTTGGATCGCTGGTTTTAAGAACAACTCAGAGTGTTGATTCCTTAAGTTCTATGGCAACAATGCTTATCAGCCAACCGATATTTCATAAAACGAATGATACATGAAATCAAACGTCACCTCTATCTTGATAGTGCGTTCACCGCTCGACTACACATCACCCCCGAGTAGTTCTGGATCCAGGCGTTTTCTCTGTATTTTATCAGCATTGTACCATTATTCCACGTTACACTTAGGGCAGCGAGGCACCAATCCAACCGTCCTGCCCGATCCTACCAGCATCGAGCTGAAAATCTACTCCTTCCGATCTATCCAAGCATCGCCTTTACTACCTTACAGCGGTGTCGACACTATGATGACGCACTTCCTCAGGTATTATGTTTCTATGGCGTGCACGCTGTCCACTGGATACAAACCAAAAGCGTGACTATCGATATTCCTACGCTGTTGCCTAGGTACTCGGGCAGTATGCGGGTGATCTTGGTAAGTTAACCCTCCATCTCGTCAATACTAACCCAACTGAGCTGATCAAACTGGTCCCGCGTGCGCTAGTCGGGCACACTATCAAAAGAGATTTCAAACCTCATCGGCATTCTGATAAGGTGCGGTTTCCAACACATCGCCTCAAGTCGTTACTACGTTTGTGCACAATGAAAATTCATTTCCAATTGTGTGAGAAGCTATCTACCGTCAGATCGATGGCATACAGATAGGTAGTCCGGTTGATCATAAACTCTTCGTGGAGCCCTGGCTGTTCCTTAGCAGTAACACTTTTAGACACATTGATCACCGAAGTGACATTTACCGTCCACCTATAGCTGGTCAGGGATGCACTAGAATCGATCACGTTACTCTTGGTTAGGGGTGGCGTGGTTGAATGCTGAATTGTCGCTTATTTTGGGAATTTTGCTTCGACTCTGATCATGCGGTGTTATATTGTCATACAAAGCGTCTCTCTGGATTGGTAGCTGAAGCTGCTATCCCAGTTCTCGATCAGCCTGCTTTACATATCGGAGTTTCACCCTCCTCCTCCTAATAACACTTCAGGGGACTAGAGTATCGGTCGCCATGCGTGTCATCAGATCTTGTGCTTGATGCACTATCAATCGTCGCCGCACCAGTTACTGGAAATCCGAGAGGTCGATGAACCTGTTGGGGTCCGCAATCAAACTCCCCTCTGTCCTTGAGCATAATACAACCGGAGGGACTATCAAGCGCGAACTAATGCGGAGCCTGTGCGTTGACGGAATCCTGCTGGAGCGATAGGATTCACGAAGTGGAGGATGCGGGAGCAGTGGGCAGTTAGAGCAAGCACATTTAACTGATCTGTACCACTAGTCCCAAGCGTCGGTAATTTAGTCAGAGACAACGCAGGTGCCACAATACACATAAAGGTTGCCGTATGGCTCGTTGGGCGGAGCACTTTCGAGATCAGTTCACTTGCCCTCGTGCTCCCTGATTCCTCCCTCTTATGTGCTTCACACTGCCATGGCGAGTTAGTTCAGAGGCTCGATATCTTGGAACCGATCGGGAAGTCATCATTTTCAGAAAACTTGTTAGATGACCGGTTAATATATTTATGGCTTTATCTGAGGTCGGAAACGCAACCACAGCCCTTATTCGTTTTTGTGCTGCTGGCCCGGATTCCCTCCCACCCGAACTGTTTGAGGATGGTGGCAAGGTGTTCTGCAAGATGCTGACTGACCTGTTCGAATAGGTCCGGAAATAAGACACCATCCCAGCTAATTGTAGTGGCAATATACAAGGAGTTGAGTCGTACCGATAACCAACCCCAGGGGTATTAGCCTAGCGCCAGTGGGTACAATCTTACTGGCCTCAATTCTGCTTAGTCGCCTCACTGCGGAACGAGAATCCCGATTTAGGGGAGAGTAAGTGGATTACTGTCCAGCGTAGTAATGTGTACACCATGGCAGATGTTGTGGGAGGGTCAGACGTGCCGCAGACTGACAATAGCTGTGTTCCTCGTCTTCAAGTCTGTGTTCGACTTACTCGACCGAAATACTTGCGCAGAATGGTATGTCTATGCAACGTGCGGACCTATTGCTTCTAACCGAAGCACAACGGATATTGGTAAGCTGCTACTGCTGCGTTCCTCCGTTGTGGCTGCCCTCAAAAAAACCAAACGATTAGAAGTGTGGATTCTTGATGAACTACCTTGCATCTGTCAGTAGTATCATGCTGACAGTCTAATTCACGCCCCTTGACTTGCAGCCAGACGAAACGGTTTCCTAGCTTGGATTTCGGGATTGTGACTCTGGAACTCGGAGTTTACCTCCAAGCGTGTCGTTACACGTGATATTCCAACAAAGGCGCTGGCTCGGTACAGCAATAATGATAGTCGTGTTTCTCTTGTGCGAAGCTGTGTCCATTATTAGCACATCATATTCGCCCAGGTGGTTTCAGGATTTTGCAGGGGTACTACACAATTGTGTGATTTTTTTGTCTAACCTTGCATATGGCCCACAGGTTTATGCTTCATCCCCAAAATGGAGGGTACTGGTGCATTTTGCGATTATTACGGCCACTAATAGTTTCTTACTTTGTAAGGATTTCTCCTCTTTCACTCGTTAGGTGTTATCTGGGCCCTCTTGAAACAACTCATCCGGTGATCTGCCCAGGGATACAAGGCCATAATCACGTTCAGGTTGAGGTACCTTCCGAGCTTATACAAAAGTTTACTGTGCTCCCAAACAACCTGGTTGTAATTAGTAGCCTATGCTACATGACAGGAACTAGACCTACATTTGTCCTGCTCCTTGGTCCAATCAGGGTCCAGCCCTTGTTACTACGATTCGAGTGGAACTGTGCTGCAATTCTAATTTGAGCGACTCGCAACAGCCTTTCTATGGAGCAGATTACACTGCAGCATCAAGTTATTCTCTACTCATCGTAGCAAAAACGGAACAGCCTGGGGTTTTTAGCACCGTTCCCCATAGTTCTTGGTTGGATTTTCTCCTAATACATATTTTCTGAAGGACCTATGTAGACTTTCTAGAGCTGTTCTATCAGTTTCCTCATTCCAGAAGGGGACGAGTGGGGATTTATAAATCCAACTAGCTGGGATTGTGTTGCTCCTGTCTAGTCCGCGATAGCTGTCTATCCACCTGCCCCAAGGTTGAAGGCACAAGAATTACCGGATTCCGACTTCTCGGGTAGACAGTTATGGACAGATGTATTCGTTGTTAACTTTGATGGATCCTTCAGGTATCAAGCAATCGCGCTACATGACACTTGATATTTTAGCTGAGAACTTCATCATCCGCTTGTTACACCATGTCTCAGTGGAGTGCATGTCATCAGGAACTAGTAGTAGTACGTTCTGAAGGTCAACTGGTAGACACTTTTTATGTCATCGGCAAACATAATGGCATGCACTGTTTGAGAACAATACTAGTGTCATTAATATAAACCAGTAATTCATCGAACACCCTTGTATAACCCGAATGGTGATTTGACATAGGGAAGGTGTCTACCTGAGGGCGGCCGTTCAGGTATATGGATAACCATCCTAGTAATATGTGCTAGACTTTACAAGAATAAAGGAAGGAACACCATTCTTGAGGCACCCGATCGAGTACCTTTTACATAGAGTCTGACAGGTTGTGCATTGTCACCTGTCAAGTTAAATATGCTAGGACTTAGATATCAGCTCCAATGAATTGATGACATTCATCATACCCATTTTAAAACATTTTACGAATAATCTGGTCGGATAATGTTCTGTTTCGGACCAACTTTATGGCGAAGGATGATAAATGAAATAATCCATTACTCTTGGAAGTGTCTTTGTTCCAGAGAAAGGATAAACATGTTCAACAACAGCAATGGTATGTCAGGCCTTCCAGTTTTATGGGGATGCCATCGACATCCACATTTGTGGCGGGTTTAATAATCTCTTGCCTGGTGGCAGCATTACAGTGAGAAAGATCAATTCTACAGAAGGTCTTGGCTGTCTTTGTCCCATAGGTACATCTACGTTGTGAGAAGTCCAGTTGCACCTGGCATAAATTGTTTACCTTTGTTGTGTCCAACGGACACTGATGTCCTAGCAGGTGAAAGTCTGAGTGCTGAAGACCAGTGAAAAGAATGAAATTACGAAGGGATGTTGGGCGTTTACGTTCTGTGACTCAACAGTTAGCCAAACCACGTGAGGCTGGTAGTATAATTCGCCCTGCAAGGTCAGCATCGTCCAACCAGAGGCGTTATCATCTCGTGATCTTCCACGCGCCGGAGTCCAGTGATTCATCACCTTAAGTGCGCTACGATCACGATGTCGAGTTTTTACAGAGTCTAATTGACACACTCCTTGGCGCTGATGAGGACTCGGTAAAAGTGAGGCAAATTACCCGTCTTGGAAAGCGGGGTGATCAACGAAATCGGCCCATGGGAATCACTTTTGTGGACGAAGCCAGTCCAAGACTGATCATGTCCGGCCTAAATAGGCTGAAAGGTTTGAAGATCCATGTTCGTCCAGACCTGGACCCAGTAGATTGGGAGCGGCTCAAGTCTGCCATCATTGAGCTGAAAAGACCTACTGTTGAGGGTGAAACAAATCTTCGGATCGTAAATTTTCGGGTGGTTTCCAAGAATCTGCGTATCAAGCTAAACTGGCTGCTCACACTTCAAAGCACGCCCGGCGACTCCTGCTGCGACCTGCGAGTAGCCTTCACAAACGTTTGCAGTGTTATGAACAAGCGCAATGAACTTTGTTGTTTCTTTGCGCCTGAACGGTCAGACGTAATGGGACTCGCAGAGACATGGCTGCATTCAGAGTGAGGTTGAAGCAAAGTTCGTGGATTTGGTACTTGAAACTGGTGCATCGCAACACGTCTGGCAGCCA